CTCCCAGGTGGCTGTATTCTTGCAGTTGCTGTGGTGAGGAACAGCAGTACTTTAGATATGCGCTCTTTGCGGGTCAGTAGGAGTTGTCATAGTGGAGCTCGCTGGACTGCAGGTTGGAGTCTCCCTTTGGGACATCTCCTTTCTCGAAACCTCCTGCCCTGGGCAGAGGATGAGCCTCTCAGTCAGGGTAAGACAACCAATCACAAATCTTATATAACCAGTTATATAATGTATATATGTTAACTAAAACTTAAATATAAAAAAAATAAAAAATAAACAACAAAAGCACATAACATACTTACTAAAACGTCATTTAATGTCTTCTGAAACAAAAGAGGGATGAACTTTTTCCATTGGAAGAAATATTACAATGGACAAGTTTTTTGTCCAGTGATGGTTTAAAGTTAAAACGTCTTATTGATGGATGTGTTTCTTATAAACATGCAGCTTTTTGCTTCACAATGTTAACTGAAGGACTGGAGTATTGTGATGGTAAAAGTTAAGACAAAAAGTTTCAGCAAATTTTCATTTTTGGGTGAACTACTCCTTTTAACTAAAATAAAAAATAATATCAAAAAGAAAAGATCATTCAAAAATATTAATAAAACCTTTATTAGTATAAAAAATATTACTAAAACAACACAGAAACAGTAGTGTGTAATAGATCAGTTCCAATGTAATGGAATTAAATCAGTTTGAAACGGTTTTCCAAATTTTCGTTATGTATTTCCAGTCACTTGGTAATCAGGATCATAACATAGGAAGAATTCCGTCATGTTCTCCCAAACCAAACAAACAAAGTTTTCAAAAATATGTAAGACTGTGTGCCGAGTTCCCAGTGCTCATACTTTGACTATTTTGTCAGCGGTTAGTGCTTTCTTCAGTGCCAGCTGTGTGCCTGGAGCAACTACAATGGCACCCAGCCTTTGTTCCTTGTGCCAGGGTCAAAGGTCATACATTCGTCAGAAAAATTTCCATTGTGAGATGTTTCACAGTGAACCATTCTACCACAACCAAGGAGCACTCAGGTTAAAATAATCCTATTTACACCTGTATCAATAAGTCACTGCCAAGTTCCCTTGAGGATCTTACAGCATCCAGTCTTTTTCTTGTAGATGTTTACAGTCACGTGCAGGAGATGTTGCCTTTGTGGATCACACAGCTCTGGACAGCATAGATGGTTAACACAATAATTAACTCTAACACAAACAATATGCTTATATGGATGTACTAGTGATTAAATCCTATTTGAGATTAACAGCTTTTCCTTCTCTTTCATATTTCTTTTTGATCCCGGCTTATAGTTTTTTTTCTTCAACAGAAAGTGAGAAAGATGAGTTCAGACTGTTGTGTGCAGATGGAACTCATGCTCTATATATATTCTGTTTTACTTTAATGTATTTTTTAGTACTTAATTGTATTTTATTTAGGTTAGGTGCTAAGGTAACGTTTCTCATTTTCATTATTAAGTTTTTCATCCAATATTTATATTGTATTTCATTTAATCTTTTTCAAATAATGAAAACTATTTTTAGTTTTAATTAATACTGACACTGCTGATTGTTCTTTGTATCAGTGCATAGAACAGAATTGTTCATTTTCACAGAGGGATGAGGTGGATGCTGTTGTCTCTTGATGCCACTCACGCATTCATAGCTGGGAAATGTGGCCTTGTCCCTGTTGTGACTGAATATTATGGTATGTAAAAGATCTAACATCCTAATGTACCATGTCATACTCACTCGTGTTCTTCTCACATCGATTTGTTATTCTCTTTGCTGGTTCATTTGTTCAAATTTAGGAGAGAAATGTGAGAATCCTGAAGGAGTTGGAGGCCATTTTGAAAGTGATGGTAATACAGGGCTAAAATGAGCTTAGCATGAATGCAATCTCTATTATTGCATCTTTACAAAATATATTTATCTCTGCAGAATTACCATCAGTGTATGGTGTGGCAGTTGTACGTCGGACAAGTAGGAGTTTATATTTTGGAAGTCTGGGCGGCAGACGCTCCTGCCACAGTCACATGTACAGCCCTGCTGGCTGGGTTTTACCTGTGAGACACACACTCAGCACAGAGCACACCAGCAGTGCCCCATGTCAGCCAAATAATGGTACTACATGTTCCTTTTTATTACTTGGTATCTTGATCAAATAGTTTGAATATAATATTTTATTTATCTTTTAATGCATCTTTTAATGGTTTCTGTTTACTTGCATGTCATGTGACCGTTAACCAGCATTAAAGAGCCGTGAACAAGCAAGTGTGACGTTAAATTAATTAAATACTAACTTAATCTCACACGGCACTTTAAGAAAGAAGGTATTGGAACCCCTGCTTTAAAGGAAAAAAAACCCTCAGGTCATCCAAGATGTAGATGAGTTTGTTTATTCATCAGAACACATTTGTAGAAAATTAGCATTACATCACTTGCTCACCAATAGATCCTCTGCAGTGAATGGGTGCCATCAGAATGAGCTGGTAAAAGCAGCTGATGAAAAAACAGCTAAAGGACAGTTAAAATGCTTTAATGATGGATTTTCTTCTTACAAACACACATCTTTAAGACATTTATTGATGGACTGGAGTTGTGTGGATTACTTGTGAATTATTGTAGTATTTTTATTAGCTGTTTGGACTCTCATTCTGACGGCACCCATTCACTGCAGAGGATCGATTGGTGAACAAATTTAAGTAATGCTAAATTTCTCCAAATCTGTTCTGACGAAGAAACAAACTCATCTACGTCTTGGGTGGCTTTAGGGTGAGTACATTTTCAGCATATTTTCATTTTGGGATAAACTATTCCTTCAATGTAGCCCATTCTGTTTTCAGTGTACGGTGAGGTGTTTTGGAAAGGTTGTTTGCCAGGAGGTCAAGGCAATCTCTGTAAGGTGTGTATGGGTGGGACTGAGGAAGCTGACAACCATAATGAGCGTTACTATGGCAATATGGGTGCATTAAGGTGAGGAATTGCTATTTGCGCACAGTTCAAATAAAATGGTATACAAAAAAATATCTCTCATTGTTAATGTACCATAGTGCAAACCAAGCAGCTGTGCAGGCTTTAAAATGTCTTTTACTTCAGGTGCTTGGTTGGAGACCCCAGTGGGAAGAGCTTCGGAGACGTGGCGTTCATGGAACACCACAGTCTAGAGAGCAACATCGAACGTAAGATGTAAACTCTTGAGAGATGTCATTGAAATGAATCACATTTGTAATATGCGTGATGTGTTTGTTGGACAGGTCTAAACACCAGTGGCTGGGCAGAGGGTTGGCTCGCTTGGTATACTTTGAGTTGCTTTGTGGGGATGGCAGCCGGGCTCCTCTGACAGAGTGGAAGACCTGTAACTTAGGAGCAATCCCTTCAAATATTGTTATGACACATCCTGTTCTTACAGCTCGCATTTATGACCTCTTGAAGTCACAGGTCTGCACGCTGAATTAATAATCATTTGATTAATTTGAGAGTCTTTTAGCATCAGAATACTGATGTGTTTTGCACTATAGGAAACCATAGCAGCTCGTCCAGATTCTGGGTTCCACCTGTTTGAGTCTCAGCAGTATGGAGAGAGTGACCTGCTCTTTAAAGATGCTACAAGGTGCCTCGTTCACACCAGTCACATGGACTACCGTACCATATTGGGAGAAGAGTTCTATTCACAGGCTGAGAGCATCTTTAACTGCACACACTCAAGTGAGAATAAAAGGAAACATTATTATATCTATACCAGTTATTTGTTTGCATTAATATACAATCACTGGATTTTAAAAGAGCTTGATTTAAAATAGCACATTGATATGTAAAATGTTTCTTATTTGAATGATTATTCATGCATATTTTAGTTGGGGCTATTGTTTTTAATTATGAATTAATTTATTTTTTATTTTTTTGACAGATATCTTGCAGTTCTACAATCAAGATGTGTGCAGCATATTCTAAACAAACTCTATGATTTTTTTTGACAATGTTAAAAAGAAGCATGGAAAATACACCATAATTATGTCATTACTGACATAAAATAAAATACTCTCTTAAGATATATTTTATGTCTGTGAGTGCAGTACCGGAGAGTTTATTAGTTTCATCAAAGAACACTGCTGAAGATGTGTAAACGAGCCAAAAAGCGAGGACCTTCACTAAACTACATTTACCATCATGCACCTGTGTAACAACACGGAAGTTCTTGTTGTAATGACCGCTACTACAGTTACTGTACTAATGTTTACGAAATACAAGACTTTTGGTGTCGAGGATTTTATAAATACAGGTAAGTTATTAAAGTAATGTAATTGCTTGTACATTTGAAATATTTGTTTTAAGTGTATATATTTACACGAGGCATAATATCCACGGCATGTTTATTAGTGTCCTAGCTTACTTGACATTTGAATCAAGTTATACAATGAGATGGTCACATTCCACCTTCAGACGTCAAAAAACTGAATTAACTGACATGACTATTTTATCGTTATGTTTATAACGTAATAATTGTCTTTATGCTCGAATACCATTAAAAATATTGCACAAGATTTATATTCAGTAATGTTATGATGTAATAAATACCATACACCTTTAAGACATTGCACTTAAAGGTTTATGATGTCACAGTCAGATATTACTGTTACTTACAGGTAAATCTAGTTATTTACAGGCCAATGTATATGCCTATATGTATATATATATATATATATATTGTAATTATTTTTATTTGATTTTATTTTCTTATTTATTTATTAGTATATTATATCCATGGATATTGGAAACACATTTCCATGTATATTTTATTGAATAACAAATTAGCTGAACAACTTTATTTATCAGAAAATGCCACAAAATGCACCAGCGTGTTTGTCGACCCCAGAGGGTTAAAGAACTTTATTAGTTCACCATATTTCAGACCATAACATGTAAATTCCATAGAGTAGTTGACATTGTGTAGAACAGTTGCTTGTTGTTGATAAACAGTTGTTTGTTTTTATCTGTACAGGTTTGTAGATGCTGTTTTCATGGAGATCCCTGCCTCCTCATGTGGCAGTGGGAAGATGTGCCTCTACAATTCAAGCTAGCGTGCAACGATTTGTTCCTGCAAGTGGCTCAATTGACTCCAATGCTTTAGAACAACTCCAGGCCTTTGTGTCGCATGCTTCTCGTTTGTTTGTGATAAGTGGTGCCGGACTCTCCACTGAATCTGGAATTCCAGACTATAGATCAGAAGGTGTGGGACTTTACGCACGGACTGACAGGCGGCCTATGCAACACTCAGAGTTTGTGCGCAGTGCGAAATCGAGGCAGCGATACTGGGCACGGAACTACGTGGGGTGGCCGCAGTTCTCCTCACACCAGCCGAATCAAGCACATTTCGCATTGCGGGACTGGGAGGAAAAGGGAAAACTGCACTGGCTCGTCACTCAGAATGTAGATGCATTACACTCAAAGGCTGGACAACAGAGACTAACTGAACTTCATGGATCTACACATAGGTAAGGCAGGACTTGCTTGAAGGTCATCGATTATGGAGTTAAAGAATCTGTGCAATGTAAGAGGAAAAATATTTTATGTGATTTTATGTTTGTCCTGCTCTTAGGGTTGTGTGTTTGGACTGCGGGCAGCTGACTCCACGTGCTGAGCTTCAGAAGCGCTTTGCAGCTCTAAACCCTGGCTGGGCAGCAAGTGCAGGCGCTGTGGCCCCAGATGGAGACGTGTTTCTGGAAGACGAGCAGGTGCTGAACTTCACAGTACCTGCTTGTGATGCCTGTGGCGGTGTGCTTAAACCTGAGGTGACGTTCTTTGGTGACGTAGTGAACCGGACTACAGTTAGCTTTGTGCATAACAAGCTGGCTGAATCTGATGCTGTGCTTGTGGCTGGATCTTCTCTTCAGGTGAGTCATGTTTCATCAATATCACTTTAAAAACATTTCCTGTTCACGTAGACCAGGGTTACTCATTTCTACTCACTGGCTGCCATCTCCTGGTGTAATGATGTATCATACAGATAGGGGTCACTGAACAAATTATTGTTCATTCAAAGTTTTTAGGTAAAATAAACATAATGCAAAAGATCAATACCTCAATTTACAGAATTGTACATATTCACACATTCTTGGTTAGTTAGCTAAGTGCAATTAAGAATACAGCATTGGCAAGATGGACTTAAGATGAAATACTTTATATTAAATATTTTAAAATTATAAAGGTGCATTTCCCATCTAGAATTTATTCTCTAAAAAGTTGCTGAGCTCCTCATAAATCAATGTGGGAAACATTTATGGTAATGATGAAATTCTAGTTAAATTGAAATTCTAATTAAAAGTGAAATTCTAATTAAAGTTTTGGATTTAAAAGATTTTAATCAAAATCCCCATGGTTATTATACTTAACTAATACCAAGCCACAGAAAAAAATGATGCTTGAAATAAAATAAATGTTAACTGGAATAAAAAAAAAAAAAAGTTAACTAGTTAAAACTATTTAAACTAGTTGCCAAGGTAATATTTTAAGATTGTTTCCGCCATTAAATAAAAAATAATATATATAATTATATATAATAGATAATTATGATTTTTTTTTCTTGCGATTCTTAGTTTAGAT